TATTGTTGTTACTGTTATGACTATTGTCGAAATTACAAATCAGGTTCTTGCGATCAGAAGTTCTTCTTGTGACAGCTGCAATTGTTTTGTGGTCTGCACGCCCGAAAACATTCCGCAAATCTGAACCGCGTAGGATCAGCCTGATCGACTTCCGCACAAGCCCTTAACCCATACATCCACTATGCCCCTTAACTTCAAATGCAAGAACAATGAAGACGATGTCCCAAACCTTCTTAGTTGGTTCAGGCAGTGAAACAGGACATGCACAAGCAAGGCCCTAGGCAAACGGAGCTAAACCCTAAACCCTAACGAGCACCAAGGGAAGGCGAGAAAGCAACGCCCTGAAACTCCAGCGGCAGAAACTCGGATTTGCAGTCTGAGGGTCTTGGGGTTGGGTAACTGCCTATGGGTTTAGGGGTCTAGATTCCGATTTTGTTTCGTGTTTAGGAGACATGTTCCATTTCTGCAGCGTTTGTGTTGGGTTATATGAAGGGCTTTATGACTGTCAGGATCAGCAGCTGAAGTGCAGCTGAACCAACCCGCCTTGCAGGTTCGTGAGCAGTAGGGCGCAGGTTCCCTCAATCGAGGTGTGGGTATGAAAGAGGTCAGGGTTTAGGGGTTTAGGGCTTTGGTCGATGTCTATAGGGCGCCTTACACTTATTGGCGGGGATAGATTTGGGGCTTTTACGTGGATGCTACCGAAAATGCCGCACGGATAAAGCTATGCTTACACTACTTATGACACTCGTTATCTAGGTCCCTGGTCCTTTAAGTTTTAGGGTTTAGGGTTTAGAGTCCCTAGAGCCCTTGTGGAACCCATAAAACACCCCCAAACCACTTCTAGAAGCCATAGAACAGCCCTAAAGCCCCTTATGGGCCCATGCAGAACTCCCGAATCCCTAAACCCCACAAAATCCCTAAACCCTAATCCCTAAAACCCTAAACCCTGAATCCCTGAACCCCAATCTCTGCGTCCCTAGAGCCCTAAACCCTGCACCCTGAACCCCTAAAGCCCCAATCCCCCGATAGACTATTGGGATGAGAATGGTCTGGTCACAGATATAAACCTAGATAACTACTATCTGCAACCAAAGTACCTCATTATTGAGTCCCTTGGACCCTTAGAGTCTTCTTTTGAATTTAAACAGGAGATCATGGGTCAGAGAACGGCGAGACGTTTGAGGCTTAGGGGTTTCGGGTCGAAGGGTCCAGGGTTTAGAGTATTTAGGGCTTTGTAGGGCTTTTGGGTAACTTTACGGGTTTTTGGGCTTTAGGGTTTTGGGGCAAAGGGTTTTGGGACCGTGTGAATGCTGACAGGGGGCTCAAGATCTCTGCAGTACTGGCATTTTCACACTGGCGGTTTCCTTGACATTGCACACCGCTGAAGGGGCTGGGGTTGAAGGTTAAGGGTTCAGGGCTCCAGGTTCGGGATTCAGGGTTTAGGGTTCAGGGGTCAAGGGTTTAGGGTTTAGGGTTTTAGCTTTATAATAGTTCTTTAGCTAGATACTTCAGAACCCAGGAAGCGAGAGCAGGAGAAAGCACAGTGCCTTGGCTGGCCAGCTTGGTCTGTCGATTTGCGGCTTAGGGCTCAGGGGTTCAAGGTTTAGGGGTTTGGGGTTTACCGCAAGCGATGCTTTTGTGTCAGCTAGCAGAGCAGAGAAGCACGAGAAGCCTAACCCTACATCCCAAGCCCGAAACCCGAAAATCACTAAACCCCTAACCTAAATCCGTGCCGACCCTCAACCCTAAACCCTAAACTCTCCTACAGTGTACCCTAAACTCTCCTACAGTGTACTGTGCCAGAAACCCCCTGCTCCGGCGATCTTACGCCGTCTCGCGACTTTGGGGTTCTGGTTCCTTCAACTTAAGGCTATGTAAAATGTTCCTGGAAGGGTTCCATGCCGGTTCTGTAAGGGTTCAGGTTTGTTTAGGGGCTTAAGGTTCGGAATTCTCGCCTGAGGAGGGGGGGGGGTTCGGATTTACGACGGCATGGCCCCAGCATGTAGTGCACAGTTCCTAAAGGCGGCTACATCGCGAGGCCACGCTGACATCCAACACCCACGTTTGGGGCAAGGGCAGTAGCTACGCGGGGACTGCAGGTAGTACATGTTGGCAGGGTTTCAGGCATACGATTCTAGTATTAAAGGCAAAAGGCGCACTCCTAAAGAGGATAAGGCCCTCCTACTGGCACCGCATGGGGTTCTAGTCGTCAGAACCTGCAAAACAAGCGCCAGATCCTTCGCACTTCCACTGTCAGTCGGTTGCCTAAAATCCGGCATCAAGCTGAGGAAAGAAAAGGAGGACCAGCTGCAGAAAGAACAGCAGCAGGCATGCCATGTCATGGCCACAAAGCTTTTCTTGGTCTTTTTTGCCTCAGCCGCCGAAGCTGGTTTCGGGCAGGAGCCTTCAAAGGGAATAAAGGCCCAGCTTCAGAAAACGTACCGATGTGATTCGCCTGTGAGTAGAGAGACTTCAGACTTGGCGAGACAGGGCAGCAGACCCTCGGGTTGAGGGCTTTAGGGTTTATAGGGTTATA